TGTTGGAACCATTCTAAGAGATCGTTGCACCATGTCTAGACCTAAATCTACCTGAAAACCCCGTTTACAGGAGCTCTTCATCTAATCTGACTGATCATTAACTAGTGTAAAAATGTAAAATGGGGAAAATCTCAGCCTCTAGATGTGCAGAGCTGGTACACGCATAACTCTAAAAATTACATGTGTAATTGCAACAGAGACAGAGTTATAAAGTATTAATTCAGGGAGGGTGTATGACACACCTTTTAGATTTGAGGGAAAAAAAAAAAGTATCCATGTTTCATTTTTCTGCAACTTTGAATTATACACCACCCTTTCCCCATAATGCAGTTCAAAGTTTAGGGTCGCAAGTTGACAAAGTATCCAACAGTCTTGTGGGTATGAATACTTTTGCAAGGCACAAACAGTGATGGTTCATGCTGCGACAAAATGCATTTCAGAACTGTGACGAGGAACTGCTAATGACATGATTCAGGGAGGTGAAATGGTGCCGATGCCCAGGAGAAGTGGCATCACACAGAAAACTGGCCCACCTTCCAGGAGACTGTGATCTTTCTCTTGGTTTGGGAGGAGTGGGAGGCTTCAGATGTTCTCCTGTGATTTCAAAAGAAAAGTATGAACAAATGTTTGTGTATCTAATTTGAGAGCACTCGGATCCTGACGAAGGAACTTACCGGCTGCGGTGCAGGACACCCGAACCCGAGGCGCAGGGCGAGGTGGAGGGGTGACCTCTGACACCCTCCTGGGTGCAGGAACAGGTCGACTGGCTTCAGCAGCTTCGCTATCGGAGGGAGGAGGAAGATCCCCATTTGAAGCTTCTTCAGCTTGAGTTTCTTCCTCTATTTCACCCTCCCCTTCATCACTCTCATCGAAAGGATTAGGAGGAGAGGAAGGACGCGGTTCCTCCTCTTCCTCACCCAAAGACTCTTCCTTGCTTGCTACTACAGCAGTGGTTGCGACCGAGTCATCAGCTGGTGTGTCGGTGCTTGTTGAGCGAACTGGAGAAGGGGTCTTCGCCTCATCCCTCTCGGAGAGCGCGGGGAAGGGAGCTGCACTGCGACCGGTCCGAGCAGACTGAACCTCCTCTGGTTTCTTGCTGAGATCCGGACGGCCGTTCTGACTGGCTGAAGTGTGTTTTGAAAGATGGTGTGTACACACCAACGCCCCGGAGTTATTTCCTTTGTAGGATCCAGGAAGCAGAGTGCTGTGGCACTCTGTGCACCTGAAAGAAAAATGTCAACAGAAAGGCCACTATAAACATGTCTTCACTAGAGACTAACAGGAGGAACTATTCAAACAAGTACATCAGCTGACCTGCATTCAAGCTAGGGGAGGGCAAAAAATAAATCGCTTTTTTTTCACCAATTAATCAAATTTTCTTACATTTTTGAAAAATCTGATATTTATTTTACCAATACACTCCTTGGGTTTCCATACGTCAGAACACCCAAGGCCCACCATCTTGTTTGCAATCTCCATTTTGTTGGACTTTGAATTCAAGTCAGTTCACAAAGGGATTGATTGAAAGAAAAGCTACTTTTTGAAAATATTTTTTGTAATTTATTTTGTTTTAAGAAAAGAAAGTCAGAGTAAAAGGCTTAAAATCAGATTTAGTTTGAAAAAAAAAATTAAAAAATCTGATTTTATTTCTAAGAAATATCATCCGGTCCTAATTCACGTTAGTTTCTTGACCTGTGTGGAGTAGAACACAGTCAAGAGGAACTGCTTAATGGCGCTACATCAACTTTTGCCCTAAATTCCTCTGGTTCAGTGGATGAAGCAGAGGTGATGATGAAGCGTTGTGGGAGGAGTGTTGCTCTTAAACGGAGAACAGAAAGATTTTATGCTGGCCAGAAGTATCTTTACAGACAAAAATATTGGGTCTAAGAACAAAAGAACCTAAAGACTACGCTGTATTCAGATATGATGACCTTTCTTGATGTGTGATTGATGTTTTAACAGACAATATCTGCTTAGCAGCTGAAACCATTTTTCCGCAGGTTTTTACATGACAGCATCAGTAAGTGCTTGTCATTTCCGTTTGAAAATATAATTGAATGCAATTGAAGTGTGCCGTTTAGCACACTACACATAATTGATGTACTGTAGTAGCCTGTCTGAAACGTTCATATTTTATAAGTATTTGTCTTTCTGAAGCTCTATGTGCTTATAAATCTGTCTTTTTGGCTATAAACCAAAAAATGATTTTTTTTAAATTGTATTTATTGCCATTTTTATCATCTAAATGCTCCAAAACATCTATATCCCATAAATATCTGAGTTTATAATTTACCCCCAGGACTGAAAGAAAGTGATTATAACAATAAAGTATCCAATTCTTATTAAATATTAGCTACTTCAAACCATTTAAATAGATGTCACATTAATTTAGGAGTTTATTTTCTCCAACGTGCCAAAAACATGTTTGACTCCACTGATGTTTTGCGGCCGTCTTCTCAGTACTCACCTGAAACAGTTCCGATGGTAGAGCTTGCCGTCGATGAGGAACCTCTGCACCAGGTGAACGTGTTTCTGGCAAGCAGCACAAGTGCTGCTCAGACTGCTGCGCTTGGCTGCTGCAGCCACCTCTGCACCGGTCTGCGCAGGCGGGACCCGGCGACACCACAGACCCAGGAGGTTGTTCGCAGGACGGGGGGGAGGGGGGCACAAGGAGGAGACATCAGGGGAAGGGGCAAGATGTAGAGCAATGAGGGAGGGGGAGATTACACATGGAGTCAGGATTTGAGGATGTGGATTGTTCATTCTGTTTAATCTGGCTACATCTGCAGCTCGCCGATTCATGTCTGCACAGCTTAGAACAGCAGTTAGTTCAAACAAAAAAAACGTGTTAAAGTAATAAATAGTAAAAAAAAAAAAAAAAAAAGATTAGCACTCAAATATTTTTCGCTGTGACTGAAATTTAGGTTTGTTATATTTTTAGGCATTTCTGTGTGTTATGCGTGATGTAAAACGCTTGGAAGGCAACGCACTGCAAATCCTGCCACACAGGATGTTAGGATAAAACCACTGTTAGTCTTTTATATACAAAAGATGATTAGAAAACACTGACCTACAGGGTTTTCCTTTTACTTACTACCCCAACCCCCACCCCCACATTACTGCCTAGGCTCAGGACCAGAGAGTGAAGGGGGGACCAGATGTGAGGATGAAGAACAGGAAGAGGAATGAATTTCCATCTACAGACATGAGGAAGGGGAAGGATATGATGCAAGTATGGGATGGAGGAAAGAAGTTGGAGCCATGCGAGAAAAAAGAAAGACAGGATACAGAGGCTATCTTTATAGACTTATTCTATCGCTATGGTTACGTCCCCCCCAACCCCACACCGGCCATAACGCAATGCTCAAACGGGGACACATAGAAATATCAATCCCAATGAGGATTGGTGCAATGTTGGCTTCACAGTTAAAACCAAACAGATCATGCAGACATGTATGACTTCAGATACAGATTTTAAAAAAAGGGAACATGTGGCTTAACAGAATTCATTTGAGAAATATTTGTTGCTGTCATGCAGTTTTAATAAATATTATCCATGGAGACCAAAATCCATCAGTCAAGTGTGAAAAACAATGGAAGCACACAGACATTAGTTCATTTCAATGCGTTTTCCCTCCTTGCCATTTCGCACACTTACCTCAGGCTCAACCCCTTTGTCTTCCAAAGGAGTTGACGGCCTTTTCTGAGCCGGTTCATTATGGCTGACCGTACTGACCCTCTTCATAGACGGGGGGTTTGCTGTGGTTGACAAAGCAAAAGGAGTCAGGTTAATCACATGGCAGACTTTGAAGGCTTTGGAGAGCGAAGTGAACCCACCTTGGGACTTGTTGTTAAAAAAGTTGTAGTACTGAGACACATATGTGATGACACTCAGCCGGTCCGGGACTTTCATGGACACCATGTCTTCTGGGTCCAGCAGGGCTGGAATCCCCAGCTCCACCTCCGCCACCTCAAACGCCTGCAGCAGAAAGAGGAAGGGAAGAAACATCATCTGATAGGCTGATCATTTATAACAGTTGAGAGGGATCAGAGCTCCATGATGTGCGGCAGGTTAGGCATAGAGAGAACTGTTGTTTGATCGTTTAGCTAACCTGATTATTAATTTGACAATCACATAATGACTTTATGAAATTGATTTCATTAAATCCTTAGGGATTTACTTGAATTCAAAAGCTTGATAATGGAGTCAATGAAGAAAGTGAATTCCTGATTGTTACAGGTGAGCCACACGAACAGTGCTAACCGGCGAGCTGTGAGGTTGCTTTTTACACAGCCGTATGTTTTTAATTGCTGCCTGATTAGCTTGCAAAACCAAACGGAGCTTGAGCATTATTAATTTGTGAACAAATCTGGATTTTCCCTCACATCCTTTAAAAATCATTCTCACAGTGAGAGAGAGACTAAATTACATGTAAGCTAATGAGCTACTTGTAATTAAAAAAAATTATACATACCCCAAGCAGATTTAAGTTTAAAGTCATCTTCTCATTTACCAGCTCAGTTTAATTCAAAAATACTTTATTGATCCCAAAAGGAAAATAAATGTTGCTGGTAAAATTGTTGGTATAATAACTGGAAGCAATAGTAATATTATGGAGAGGATAGAACGATTTGAGAAGGGAACAAAAGATTAGGCCGTTAGGAAAGAGGGCGATTCAAAAACCTGGAGCTTGTTGCAAAAGTTTTCAAAATACCAGTAGAAACAAGCAAAAAGCTGCTCAGCAGTTTTAAGAGTTTGAATGTCTTCATGCCATTAAAGTCCCCGCCCCCATAAACAGTTGGAAAAATTAAGACTAAAAAAAGTTGCTAATAAAGTTGTTTGCTCTTACAATCCCTCTCTTCATAACTTCTCTACAGGCTTGTGCAAAGAACATGCTTTTTTTATTCCCCTGACCTTGAATGCATCACATGTCTCCCTCAGAGTCTGAGCCTTAGTCAGACTCCACCAGGATGAAGTAACATTAACCCTGCATAAGCTGTTAAATAAATCAAAGTCACGCCAGCCATGACTGCATTCACCCCAAAGGACAGGCGGCTAACAGACACAACGCCTAAAATCTACCTGGCAAGAAATGAGCTAATACTCCATCATTAAAAACAAAAAAATGACTTCATGAGAGCAAAACTGTGTGACTCACCAGACGGTTGTTCTCATAGACGTTTTCTTTAGACAGCGAATCGAATTCTCTGAAATTAAAAGAGAGAGAGAGAGAGAGATACAAATTAGCATGTAGCCACTATAATTACAGACTACAAGTTCATTTTTTAAATCTTACCAGCTGTAATCCTATTGGGTCCCTTGAAATTATCTGTGCATAATTTACTAGTGTATGTAATTATTGTTGTATTTTGCAGTGAATTTTAATACTCCCTTTGCTATTTGATTTATTTTCCTTCATTCCTCCCTGGTACTGAAATCAATTTTAAAAATAGATAAGGTGAAGATGTTTTTTTATGTGTGATAAATCTAATTTACTTAAATGGGACAGTAAAATTGTCGTTTTAAATTTCTTATAAACTTAAAGAACTTTGAACAAAAACGAAATCGACCACATTGACTGTTGCCGTCAGCTTTTCCACCCATCCAGGCTCTGGTAAATTTTTTTGCACCCAAGGCAACCAAAGTGAAGAAATCCCAAAGAATCTTCAAAGTCGTCCCTTTACTGAACAGTATGGTATTTCTTCCGCTGACAAAGTCTTACTCATCAGCTTTCCATTACTGGCAGGGCAGCTAGACACACAGCAATGTTGAGCTGGTCTGCTTCACACATACCGCAGCTGAGAATGTCCAACCTCCACATAAACGCCACGTGAGGCCGATAAACTGCCTGAACAAAGGGAAAGAAACGGCAGCATCAAACTGGCGTGGGCCTGATAATTACAAGACTTAGCCCAGAAGTGCTTGGAGCAAGCAAGTACAGCCGGGCCCCTGCCGGCAAACTTCCTGCAGTAAAACTGGAAAACATCTGAGCAGCTCTGGGATAACTGTGTCTGTGTGGATGCAAATGTCTAATGAAGCATGAAAGGAAAAAAAAAAACACACACACACACACACCCTGTCCTTGGTGAAAGCTTTTGGAAACCATGTGGTTGTTTCAAGAAGGCAAAATCCTCTGAATGAGCGGCGTGTCATAGGTTCACAAAGTGACCTCTGTTCTCTCTAATCTAGTTCCCATGGCTGCAACGCACACCACCCCCGACATCAAGATTGTGTTTGAACTCCTCCGATGCTGCAAAACGAATTGAGAGCGACCTACAACACTCCCTGAAACCGTTGGCCAGGGTTCATATTCTTAGATCCTCGCTGACACAGACGTATATGATGAGACCAGGCGTGCGACTGGAACTGCAATCCTAATCCTCTGCAACTCAGCCCCACTCTGGGTTTATTTTGGGAGTGAGTAATGCTGAGGAACAGCGCGTCTTTGTGTGTCGGGCGTTTGAAATCCTCACGATGAAATCCTGGCTGTGTCAGCAACTCTGTTAAATTTAGTTCAGTCAGAAGGACAAAAAACAAACCAAACATTAAAAAAATAAAATAAAATAACCAACAGCAAAGGCTCTGAATGCTACTTGAGATAAAAGTGAGAACACTGATCACCATCAGTCCTGGAGACTGATAGTGAACTTCGTCTGGACTCCCTGTTTTATCATCATAAATGTTCATTTTGCCAACAAGGTATCTTAATATCTTGTTTAAAGTTGGAAAAAAAAAAGTGGCTACACCACTTGGAAGTAGCAGAAGGACAAAGCTAACAGCAGCTCCCACCTGATTCCTGAGGAGGCAGAGGGTCAAAAACCATCAACTGATTATAAGACCTGCAGTAAGACTTTACTAAACATGGGTTTAGTCCACATAGCCTGATATCTGGGAAAGCTAATACATTTTGGCCTTTCATCCACACAAAAGTTAAAAGATAATCTACATTTCCCTGGTTCTCCTCTTTCATCACAGTGTTCCAACACTCTTTTTAGCATCTCAGCCATTAAAAATGCACATCACGTGGGTTGCATGGAGGCAGGGAACGTCCAGGCAACTAGACAGATATATTATTGTCATAGAATTTGCATGTGTGTGGCTCTCATGTTACCAAATATTGTTTCCAAATACTAAATACCAGCAGGCAATTGCAGTGAACAGTGGTTCTATACATCATCGACTCAGGGCAAAATGCAATGCAGGCCACACTTTACAAGTCTGCATTTATTAGCAGCTTAAAAACTGTGTGCCACCTCTCCTATGTGGTCTATCAGATAAAATCTCAATTAAATATATATAAAAAAATGTGGAGAAATTCAAAGGTTACTCATACTTCTGCAGGGCACTCCAGCTTAGACTAATTTGGCTGTACCAATACTGACCCCCCACCCCCCCTTGTTAGTAACGGTTGGCCTTGGCCACAGGAATTATGATGACGCCCCTCCTTCGCATCACTGCCACTTTACTTCAGATGAAAACGGTTGGCTGCAGTGTACAGCACAGGGAAACAATGGCCTGGATCCAAATTGATGGCAAATAGAGTCTGACAGGCAGAGAAGTCCCATGCGCAGATTAGACCAACAGGGCTGCCTGTCTGGATCAGCGCGAGTTCGGCTGATCATCTGCGGCACAGGGAAAGTTAAGCAAAAGGGAAAAGAAAACAAAAAGTATAAATGATTCATGAACTTTTGTCCTTTAAATCCTCCATATTCCACTCCACCGGATAGTCAAAGATTTAATAATAAGTCAATATTTACTCTATCACATCAAGGCAAAGTCTAAGTTTGCACTCTGGAAAGAAACAAGATGCTAATCTAAAAAAAAAATAAAATAAAAAAATCAACCCACCACATGTTTTCTCTTTGTCACCAAGTACCAGGGGAAGGACACAAACGCATGATTTACAGAAGGCTTGTGTGCAATCCAGCCACTACAATGGAGGTCGTTGACTTGCTCCAGCAGGAAATCCTAACGCTGCTCAGCACAGGCGCTACCAACAGAGCTGCATTATGCTACACAGAGAGGACTTCTAAAGTGAGTCATATGCAGCGCAGATTTTCTGTGAATGGTTGCTGTCACACCGCAAAGAAGGGCAATTGTTTAAGCAACGGCTGAACGATACCTCGGGGGAAACGGCAAATGCAATATTTACATTTTCTGCAGCATAGCAATAAACATATTGGAAAGTAGAGATACTTTTTTTTTTTTTTTAGGGATGTGTAACATAAAATCAGGTGTGTTTGTGTAGAGATGTCTGTAAACAATAGTGCTGTGATGCAGGACAAATTTCACACTTGTATACTACAGGTGTAATATACTTTACTTTTTTTTTTTTTTTCCAAGCAGAGAAAACACTCTAGCCTGAAACTTGAAGAGAAGGAAGCGGCGTCACCAGTGCTTTGACGTTAAATTGCTTCTCATAGTGGAAGTGTTTTTGTTTTAGATGCACTCTAGTTTTGCTTTTGTTCTCACTTATGCTCCCTTTACTAAAAATGTGCTTCTTGCATCTTCCGTTTTCACTTATTGTCACTAATTTAATATTGAAGCAGCTTTGCAGGATGATGCGTTTGCATAAATTTGATTTCTGTAACATGCCATGTACTGTGACGTGACTCGAGAGCATGCCAACGTTGGAATGTTGATAATAATCTGTGCAGGGTTTAGGCTGATATCATGTTGTGCCCAAAGCAAGAGCTAAAAGCTACTCCGAGCTCCTCTTTGCTAAACATGGACGATGTGAATTTCAAAGAAACAAGCAGGCTTTGCTCCAGTTATGCAGCATTTGTTGTCGAGGTGTCCTGATCAATCATTGAGGATCAACCGTCACATGATCTGAAGGTCATAATGGAGAAATCTGATTATTTTCCCCTCGTTATTAAGTGCAAAACTAAGAGTTTATAAACTGGTTTTAGTTTACAGAAGTGTCAACCACCAGAATAAACTTAAACATGATTTTTTTTGAGTAGAAGAGAAAGCAGACAAAAAGTTTTTGATACAATAACTGGAATAAAGCTGCAATTACTTCATTTGTTAGTGAATTGCAAACACTTAACTACATCTAAAAAACTGCAGAACAACTATCATGTGTTAAGCATTAGAGTGTTTAGAATTAAAAATAACAACAATGTTAATTGCTCAAAATCAGGATCAACAAAAACAGGAGTCAACCAGGAAAAACCTCAACGTTGCAGCTCTAACTTGATGTTTTCTGGGTTGTTTTCAGGATTTGGCTGAAGCCCACTATTGGATTTTCCATTGCAGGTTGGAGGTAAATGCAAAATGGAAAAACTACAAATGAATTGCTTACCAGAATTAATTAACTGTCCAAGTCTGAATCTATATTAATCTAAAATAGGAAACTATTTTGATCTACAGATAAATGACCATGTGTGTCATAGCTGTGATCAAAATGGACTGCATGTTGGTCAATTCTGAATCTGTCTAGATGTTTGGATTGCTTTAATATGAATTTATTTAATTATATTTATCTATATTGTTGGCCATTAAACTGGCCTGTTCTGCAAAGGGCCTTGAGGTGACAATTGTTTGTGAATCGTTGCTGTACAAATAAACTGCATTGTGAGAACATTTCCTGCTCTTGACCTCAACCAAACCAGTGGCAAGTCATCCCGAACCTCTTCCCTACAACAAACCACACAAATCACAAAAATGATGATGCGTTTTGTGTCGCCTTGTGTTCTCTCCCTGTGCAGGAGTAAAAGGTCAGTCTCCCGCTAAAGCACTACTTGAAACAAACAGAATAGATCCAGAAAAAAAAATGCATGGTTACACTTTGGATGTACAATAATAAGATATGACATAAGCAAGAGGTTGTTCAACAGATTGCAATATTCTTTTAGTATTTTGGAGTAGTTTTTGTGTGTGGACAACAAAATCTACCACTTCTTTTAAAATGTTTTCTCAGAGTATTCTTGGAATTTAAATTAAAAAGATGAAAGAACGCTACAAAGTAAGAACACTGTTAAGTTCTCAAATTTCTAGCATGCAAACTGCTTTATACTTACTTCTAATACTAATTAAAACTCGGATACCGTTTTAAACATATGACTAAAGGTGCATTAATAAAGCTTATCCTGATTAATGCAGATTTCAAGGTTTCACTTTGGTCCGACCAACAGTTTTCAATTTGTATAAGGACTAAAACACACAAGCGAGGACACAAAAACATTTGCTTGGTTAAAGTACTAGCTTTTAGTCCAACAGAAAATGCAGGAAATCCAACATTGTATTTATGCATTCGTCCCTAACCTTTAAGTAATTCTTCAAAACCCCCAAAAGGTTCAAAGTACTTTAATTGCTTTACTTTTAAAGCATTTACTGACAAGGGAAAAGGCTCTGTACTTAAAAAGCTAATTTCCCACTATGATTAGGTAGGGTTAAAATGTGTCAAGAAATTCCTGTTCTTGAGCTTGACTAAAACAATGTATGTTGTCATCCCTGTCGCTTCCTCATAAATAATGAACCACCTAAATACCACAGATGATGTTGTGTTATCTTGTGTGGGTGTGAAATATGGAGAGGACGGGTGTTGATCACAGACAAATAGCAAGGCTTGTCCCACACTGGGTAGGGGGGGGGGTGTACAACACAACTTGCCTAAACGTTACATGCAGATTTATCAAGAATTGAAACAAGCAATTGCTCAACAAATTACAATATTTCAATTAATTATAATGCTTTATTATATCAATATAGACAAAAAAAAAAAAAACCTCACTCGCTGGTCATTTTGTTCAACCAACTGGCATTATATACTGACTGACTGCTTTGTCAAACTAGAAGGTGTGCAAGTGAATTCGAATCAGTCTTTGTGATTGGATTGACTTGATTATACGTTTCTGTGCACTGATTTCACTCTTATTATTGTTAACTGCCTTGACATTACATTTGTTGTGAATGAAATTGAACCAAATCTTAGGTTATGCAAACCCTTATGTCTGCCAAAAGTCTTGTGATCATCCGATTAAACTTGGAAGTGAATTTGCAGCTGAATTTAATGCAGCTGACTGTAGACCTTTTATTTTTATTTCTGGAATACTTCTTCACAACGTTGTAACAACAGGGTGCCGTTTCCTCATGCTTCATGGCGTTTACAACATTACAATCGGTTTAAGGCTATATCAGATACATAGTGAGGTTTCAGAGTACTTACATTAGATCTGGTCTGTGGCGGTGTATGATGGCACAAAACGCCAAGCCGTCCCGAAAGGACGCGGACATGTCCCTGATTTCCACATCGTTGTAGTTCTCGCACTGTATCCGACACCACTCCTGGAGAGCCTTCAGGGATCCCATCGTGCTACTGTTCAGCACACATGAGCAGCTGCATTAAAACCAAATAAAAAATCGATGTCTTTTAGTTTCAAACGGCGTCAGGAGAGACAGGAAACCACAGCAGCAGGCGGAGCAGCAGCAGCGTGCTGCTGCAGAGGGTCGACAGCCAGCCAGGCAGGCAGGCAGGCAACACCCGAAGAGACGAGGCGTCGCATTCACCCACGTCCACAGCGTCACGTTAGGAACATGGACCACAACCGTGCGAGAAGTTAGCTAACTGTTGCAAGTACAAAACAAAAAGGCTTAAGTTCATTTCCCGTGTGAAACTATCGACACTCAAACGGCTACACGAGCCTGTTGTTGTTATAACACTAACTGAAGCCCGGAGCTGATGAAGTAAGCTTAATCAATACAAACTTCTTGTCGAATCCACTTAAAGAGGCTTCTTCGTTTTTTGGGTCCGCAAATAAAGACCAGATGCTGTGGTAATGTCGAAACAGGGATGATAATTTCCTCCTCGATCTGGTCCACACCGCCTTATTGTTGCTACAGTCTCTAACTGACGCTGGGTCAACTCAAAACTCTTGTCAAAACTTAAAATTCAAAACGTATAATACTTATAAAAACAAACTGGGCAGGTAATAAAATTAAAAGAGGTGGAGTTACTGTAGTCTAGTTTAGCCAAATTTGTTGTCAGCACACCTGCGACCTTTCTTCTCTGAACCACTCTGTCGTTCCGCCTCTCAGTCATCAGAGGGCGCTGCACAACCAGAGAGAAGAGATGGGTCAGTGCGTCCGCCATTTTATGAGTTTTTCTTAAGTGAACAAAAACAGCAAACAAAGTCACTAAAATAGTAACTGTATAATAATAATAATAATAATAATAATAATAATAATAATAATAATAATCCACATGCATGCTTCATACTCGAGCTTTTGCTTCAAATAATGGGATAATCTTTTGCCTACGCGTTAACCAAAATGCCACTCACAACATGACGGTGACGCCGACGACGTCTGCCTATCCACGCGATGTTACAAAAGTCACGCGACAGTAGTCACTTGGTAGGAATCCTGTAAAGATGGCGGCGGCCCCTTCTGATGAGACTAGCCTTCAGTCTCTAATCAGTAAGTCATCATACATTACTAGACATGATGACGTTTTAAGCGATATTCAGAGCTGAGATACTGCTTTAGAGGGTTCCTTATGGTTAAGCTCGTGTTTTATTTCGGTTGTCACCGACACCCTCGTTACAAGCTAATGAGTTGTTACTGTCAAAATATCAAGTCAGCAAAGTGCAGTTGGTGACAAGGAAAAACGACAACTACAACCTGTGCTGGTTTTGGCTCTGCTGTTACCTTCTATACCGTTGTCAGTCGTTGGTTAAAAAGCGAATGAATGTAAATATCCCGGAAGCGTCCATTTGATGCTAACCAGGATCAAAAGCTACACCTTCCTGTCCTGAACGATCTGCTCAACTGGAGGAACTTCTGCAAATGACATATTTTCCTGATTTATTTATCCGTAAAACCACAGAGCTGATATTTTGCTACTCACAAACTTAACATAATTTAAAAAATAAAAAAAGTCACCGAGTCTTGTTTCATCCAGCTGGCACGAATTTGTTCCATGATTTTAAATGTAATGTTTGTTTCTCACACACAGACAAGACAACCAGTCCTCTCAATAAAGAAACTGACTGGGACAATATCAAGGCATTTTGTGATAAACTCGACAGTGAATCAGATGGGTAAGATGATGAATGAAAATTACAGATACAGAGCTGAATATTTATTTGTGCCCTTAAAGATTTCTTTTATTCTTTTTTTTTTTTTTAGCTACAATGACGTTTCAGATCTTGAAACAAATTTACAGTTTGCCAAAGATGAGCTCAGTGAAGAGGGAAAGCTATTTTTAATTGATTATTTCATATTTTGAGAGAATGCTGTCTGAAACACTACTTGAAAGACTAATCGGGTCATGCCAAAGCATCTCAAATAGTTTTAAGTTCAGACTTTGACAAGGCCACTCCAAAACCTTTTGTTCTTTTTGAGCCACCCTGAACCAGACTTGTCATAAAGGACAAGCGTGTATAGAAAATAGATGGATGGATGGATGGATGGATGGTATTTTAAAATCTAGTTAATACTGATGAATATTATAAGTTTAGATGTGCCTGGTCAAAGTGAACCCAAAAAAGTGACTTATCACAGTTAATTCAGGAATAAACAAGGAAGTGAAGTATATCTTTTTTCACGTAGGGTCAGGTACAAATCATCATATGAAAACTGCATTTTGTGTTTACTCAGGTTACCTGCTGTGTGACCTTAAAATTAGTTTTGTCTCGGACATTTATTTGTGAAAGAAAAGCAAACTTTTAAGGGGGCAAATACTTTCTAGTGCTTTAAAATCTTGAGTAAAAAAAAAAAGCATTGCAAAATGTTTGACTGGTTGGAAACAGTGCAGTTTATTTAAGCCAAATGTTTTTTTGTTGTTGTTTTTTTTTGTCTTATTTGTTAAAATCATTTAATTCTAAATTAAAAGGCTTGCATCGATGTTTTAAACGACTACAGGATTTGAAATGCTACAGTTAATATTTGCATTATTATCAGGCCTCAGCTTGCAACCAGACTTCTGGCCCACAAAATCCAGTCTCCTCAGGAGTGGGAGGCAATGCAAGCACTACTGGTAAGACTTGAATCAATAAGCACCAAACTTTGAGTGAAATTTGGTCTCTCACACATGGACAGATATATATATATATATATATATAAAAATTAAAATTGTTGTCCTCTCCCAGGTGCTTGAGACATGCATGAAGAACTGCGGAAACAAGTTTCATGGTGAAGTGGGAAAGTTTCGCTTTCTTAATGAGCTCATCAAGGTGGTCTCGCCTAAGGTAAACACCTTCTCTCTTGTCTCACTAGTTTATAGCAACTTGATACGCTTGAGATTGTTTCCTTTCTTTTGAGCTATAATAACAAAGCGGAAACTGTGTCTTTCACCATCCAGTGTTTTGTAGAGAAGAGCTTGTATGGATGTAGCAAGAATGATAAAACCTTTATTATCTACTATTTGAAATCCAGCCAAAAGCAGCCAAATTTTCAAGACAAAGTCTAAATTATAAACTATGTAAAAACAACTGCTCTTTGATCCCATAAAAAGATTGCTTCACAGGCTGGAGAAGTTCACAATCTGATGTAAACTTGGGGGAAAATTAGAACACCCTAAGAAAGCTCATGTGTGTCTATTGTATTTGGACATATGTATATTTAATATATTTTTTTTACTGTGAAATAGAATTGAAGTTAAATAAATATCACTGCAGAAAAGGCATTTAAAAAAAATCTATGACTTAATAAATAAAGCTTTGTTTTTGGTTAGGGATTTAGATTTAGCTCATCTGAAATTGCTTAAACATAAACAGGCAAATCATACCTGGTGACTCATGATGTGAGCACACAATAAAATTGTTAGAAAACACATTTCTGTTTTGGTTTCTTTTTTTGCTCTTTTTTTTTTTTTTGCTTTGTGAGTAAAACCAGTGTTACTTTTCAGTCTTTACATGAAATTCTATGGCTTTCTTTTCAGAAGAAAAATAAAAATTATTATATATTAGATATGTATATCTTATATATCATATTTTTTTGATTTGTTGCGACTTTTTTCCTCCTCACGTAACCAGGCGTTGTCTTGCTGTGTCTGGATAAATATGAAAAATTANACNGAGCGTAGAAAAACAAAAATATTTCCAGACTTTTCTGATTCTGTTTGCTGATCCATCCATTTATCAAGCTGTCCGTTTTCCAAACTACCTCACTCAAAGCCTGACCATGTGTGTTCAGAAAATATCTTCTGTAAACGATGATGTGCATCCTGTTAAAATGGCTTCAAAAGGAATTGGAGCTGTGGATATATGAACGTTGATATGGATTAAAAACTTCAAGGATCCTGCCGTCTCCAACCTAGCTTCCACTATTGAATATTACTCAAATAGTGTAATATTTTCTCTCTTTCTTGTAGTATTTAGGATCCCGGGCTCCGGAGCCGGTGAAGGCAAAGGTGTTGGAGATAATGTACAGCTGGACCGTGTGGTATCCTGATGAGGCAAAGATAGCTGAAGCTTATCAGATGCTGAAGAAACAGGGTGAGCTGTTTTGTGTTTTTTTTGTTTGTTTGTTTGTTTTGTTTTTGGAGAGGATTTCTATGTTACTTTTACTGCACTTTTTTTTTATATGTGTGGTAGATTAACCAAAAGTAGCTTATGGAAGTTTTTAGTTCTCTTCCCAAGTTGATAATGTCGGTTTTGGTTCTCCATACTTGCTCTTCTCCAGCATGTAGGTAGATAGAATCAGTTCTGCTTTTAGCTCAAGCACGAGACTGATGTCCTGGGTCATGAGTAGTTGACTCTGCTGTGATGTTAAAAATGGACTTCCCACATATGACTTAATGTGTATTTTGAAATGAATGCTTTAATTACAAGATGTGAGGTTATCACTTTAGGGCAGGAAAAATTGAATGTGCTGTGCCAGATTTGAAATGTTTTTGGATGCTCTTGACATATTCACACACTGTGTTTGTACATGAATCAGAGGCTGGGCTGTGTTAGGAGTTCGTTTTGCGGGAGGTTAATGGATGCTCCTGTCATTTCCAGGCATTGTAAAGCAAGACCCTGTGCTTCCTGGTGACAAGCCACTCCCACCTCCTCCACCCAGAGTCAAAAGTGCCATCTTTGAGGACGAGGAGAAATCCAAGGTGTGTGACGAGAGATCAAGAAGCAAATATGTCATCGTGATGTAGATCGTTTTTTGTTTAGTTTTTTGGGGTGGGGGTTTTGTGGACATGCTCAAGACTCATAATGAACAAAAATCCACGTGAAATTGAACTCCTGGGGACTCGCTATATACACATTCCTCTTCCTCTCTTTTTCCACTCTCTTCTGCCTCATCCTGTTATTGTAGACGCTGTCGCGCCTGTTGAAGAGCACCCACCCTGACGATTTAAGAGCAGCAAACAAGCTCATCAAGGAAATGGTTCAAGAAGTGAGTGGCTCAGTTCGCAAAGTGCAGGACACCAACTCGGGTTTTGATTTCTGTTAAGATGAAAAGTCCAGTTTGCCGTCATTTTCCTTATGTCATTTTTATTTGATGTAAATATTAGAACTGTGTTGGAATTCAGAGGCTTTAAACTGATTGCTTTTTTCATTTTTAAATGCTAAAAAGGATCATTTAATTATTTGGATATATGTCCTATTTCGCAAATGTCCAATTAAGATGACTTCCCCTGTCTTGCGTTATTTCCCCCACCGCAGGATCAGAAGCGGGTGGAGAAAGTCTCCAAGCGAGTGAACGCCATCCAGGAGGTGAAGGAGAGCGTGAGCCTGCTGAGCCAGCTGCTGGAGGGCTACAGCCAGGAGAGCTGCTCCCATAGCAACCAGGAGCTCGTTAGGGTTTGTAACGCTCAGTCATTAACAAAGTCACCCATCACTAGGTTTTTGTTGATTTTTCATAACGGTGCAACTACAGTAGATCAGCATTTTTAAATGTATAGACACGTTTTTGTTTTTTTTTTCTCCTGTAGTTCATTATTACAGTGAGTCCTTTTTTAATTTTCTGTCTGAAACTTCAGTTCCTGTTCGTTTAAGGTCACCAGAGTTGCTCAAAATGAGAAAAATATAAGCTCCAACATAGGATTTCACCTTTTTGCTCTTTTACTCCACAGTTGGAGCAATGTTACCGTTTCACATGAACCAGTTCCAGCAGCACAGGGTGACA